AGTTCATCTGTGAGTCATGGTAAATTTTGCTTCTTAAGGGTAACATTCTATTTTTTCCAGGGAAAGGTCTTGCCTTTTAGAGTAGCATTGATGAAAAGTTTTTGGTACAGTAAAATTATCTGTTAAAATCGTATCTCCCTCTAGGCACTTCAAGATCATCCCCTTTTCTTTCTCTTTCCTTAATTTGCAGGCCAACCAATTCTCAGGTCTGTTTGCATATTTATAGTTTTTTTTTATTTAACATAGTTCAGTTTTGTCTCCTTTTCTCTTAGTGTCAACATGGATAAGTGTTGTTGTAAGAATTTATTTAATATGAAATATTTACATTTATGGGTGATTTTTTAATTCAACTTTTCTTTTAATTACCTGCATTTTCTCCTGTAATTTGTAAAATTGTACAATTTGTATGAATTCTAAATTGCTTTTAATGACCACTTTACCTGTGTCCCAAAGTGTTCTTAAGTCTGTGTCTTTATTTAAATCTTTTTCAAAAAAATTCTGTTAGTTTCTTTTTACAATCTTTGATTATCCAATCTTCCTGTAATAATATTTTCTATTTTTTCCATTTGCAAAGGATTGTTGTTTTGTACAAAATCAGAAATTGTTCTTCTTTCATCAGAAGGTTTCAAAAATATTCAGCTAGTCTGTGCCAAGGTGCTATGCTGCATGCCTGAAATAACTATTTGTTTCAATAAAACACATGTTGCTTATAGATCCTGGAGTTAAAATCCCAAGATCTCTTATTATTTCTAGCTTTCATCTGCCCACCTGTAAACTGTAAATTATCTAAAGCTTCTATGACATCAAACAACTGAAGTCAGCAGTATCCAGAATTGAAACAGTGCTGCCTGTAAAATCCAACTGTGTAACAAACCTCAAAAAGTAAATTGCAACTATATGTCAGAAGACTCCAAAGAAGAAATAATATCACATAATTAGAAATCCATTAAAAACTTAAAATGAGAGCATGTAGGCTGGTATCAATCGCTAGGTCTCCCCCCCCCCCATTGATTCTTCATGAAACTTTGAGTTAAAACTAAGCTAAAAAAGCAAAAATGGCACACAGTTAGATAGGCAACTGCTCTTAGTATTTCCAACTGACCCAAATAAGTTGGGGTAATTGAGCTGGGTCTGTGCCAGTGATGAGTCTTAGTACAGATGAGATCTCACTTCTTTTGAAAGAATATTTCTGAAGATTATAGTGAGCATTCCCATCACATGAAGGGAAGGAAGTGAGAAGTAGGTGACATGTTTCCCGGGTGCCAATTTGCACCCTATCAAACTGTTTGCCCTCTGAGGTTGATGGGATCTCTTCTCTTCTGTGTTTGCACAAATCAGGTAAAATGTTTTTATTTCATAAAGTGTATAAGTGCTAATGGGTGACCTTTTTTTGTTTATCTATTTGATTTAAAGTTTTGGAAGTTAGTGTAGTTATTGTGAGGAGTTTTGGGAAGATAGAAGAGATAATTCCATTGTTGTTGAGTTTATGACTCCTATAAACTGCTTCAAGTTTCTTAAATCATCAGTGTATATATTTTGGTTTAGACAAGCAAACTCAGGTCAGTAGCTGACATTTTACTCAGGCTATTCACAAAACTATAGTTATAACTACAATAAAATATTTGGAAAAATAAATAAGTTTTATTTATTAGTATTCATTTTTCCCCACAAGATTCTACTTCTTTCTGTTTACTCTTAATATTTAATAAAGTCAGAAGTTTTTGATAGTAATGTTAATTTCTTAGTTACTTTTATTTAATCATCTACACTGCTTTAGCTGTGTAAAATGTTTACAGTAAAATGTATTATTTAATAAAATACAAGATTCATTCTATTTTTACATTCATATATTGTTAATTGCTCAAAATAAGAGAAAAAAACAGATGGGTAATAATTTTATTAAAACCAACTAATAATATTAAATGGAATTGATGGAGAAAACTAGTTTTAAGACTGAGAAAAAAATAAAATGCTTGGGCATCATTATGACAAATATAAATTGTATGTTATTTCAAAATAATTGTTTTAAGACATGGAATGAAATTAAAAAGGACATGTTGAGATGGAAGAAGTTAAAATTGTCTCTGTTGGGAGAATTTATTTGATAAAAATGAATGTTTTGTCTATAATGTTGTTTTGTTTCAGGCAATATCTATTTTGACAACAGATGTATCATTCAAGCAATAGTAAAAAGATATATCTAAATTTGTCTGGGAAAAATCACGAATTAAATATAAGGTATTAAAAGATGCAAATAAAAGAGGAGAATAAGGTTTATTGGATTTGAAATTATATTTTGCAGCTTGTTGTTTGGTTTGAATGAAACAATAGATATTTCTGAGACACAAAAGACTTTTAGAGTTAGAAGAGCATAATCTGAGGTTTGGATGGCATGGGTATTTATGGCACAAGTTAATGTGGATTTTAAAAATGATTTTATTAGATAAACCATATTGAGAATATAGAATAAACCCAGGCTGTGCTCAAAAATACCTCTATAGATCTCAACACAAGTTGCATTTTACAGAAGTGAAACAACAGGGAAACAAAAGGTTAGTTACCAGGAAATTATTGGACAATCACCATGAGGACTATAATATGAAATCAAGAGAGCAGCAAATGGCATAAGGATGTATTTGTCAATGGTTTTCCCATTTGGGATTGTTTTTGATTTTCTAATTTCAATACCCAGTTCTTCTGTAACCACCACTGCTGTATTCTGTTTAATCTGTTGGACAGAGATTATTTTAATCCTTTCAAGTGCCTTATTCACATCTTTCATTAAGATGTCAGAGGTTTCTTGGGCAGTGCTTTCAATACTGGTAGACTTTGTCTTTCTACTGTAATTCTGCAAATGCTAGAATTTTCTTTGTTTTAATTCTTCTTGTCAGGGAGTCAATTGATGGATTGTTTCAATACTGTCCCGTACTGGTTTGTTGTTACTTCTTCTAAGCTCTCATTTCTGTAGTTGACTTCAACTGTTTTATTTATTTTTGCAGTTATTGTTATCTGAGTTAACTTAGCACAATGTCTGAGTCCAGCTAAAGGATTCCTTCCACCCCTTCTGAGTTAAAAGTGCTATTCACTCATTTTTCAGTCAATTAAAAACCATATTGTCCCCACTCTCAATTCCTATCCAGCATTTGTTCCAAGTCACTGATGAATAGTGTTGTGCTGATTTGTAACTATGCCACTTGTTTTAGGCAGGGCATTCAGCTTTCTCCTGGGGCTTTGCTGCCAATCCTTTTCAGTGTGTGTGTGTGTTTGTGTGTGTGAAAGAAAGACTTTGCAACTCAGTTGGGCTTCTCTTAGCTTCTTGATTTGCCTTTCCTCCCAAATCTCATGTAGGCATTTCCATATTATTTTTAAAGTGAAATAATGAAAACTCAGGGAAGATACCAGGAGAGAAACAAGCCCCAGAAAAAAGTGAATGAGGCCTTGTCATGACTGCACAATTGATTTTTATAGCTAGATAAACTAAAGTTAAGTAACTTTTAAGCATCCAAGGATTCTCTGATAGGCAGCTTGGGTAATGAAGGGGAAAAGTTTGGGAAACAGATATAAAACATTACTGATTTACCCATCCCCAAAACCTGTGGTGAGATAATTCCAGTGTAAGTAAAAAAGTAGGTTTTTTACTACTTTAAAATCAGTATACCGAATGATTACAGTGAAAGCCAGTCTGGTCTGGAAGTTCAAATGCTGAACTAGGAGTGGGAAACCTGAGTTCTACTTTGGGCATAAAAGCCAGCTCAGTGACCTTGGGCCGGGCACGCCCTCTCCACCTCAGGAAAAGGGCAATGGCAAACCACTTCTAAAAATGGTGGCTAGCAAAATATATGGACTTGTCCATGTAGTCATCAGCGGTCCAAAGTTCAAGGGGCATACCAAAAACACATGACAAAACAAAAAGTTTCAACATGAAGCTATGCCATGGGGCCAAAGGGGAGGAATGGGATTGTTAGAGCAGGACTGTACTATGTTATAGTGCAGGGGTCTTCAAACTTGGCCCTTTTATGACTTGTGGACTTCAACTCCCAGAATTCCTCAGCCAGCATGCCTGGCTGAGGAATTCTGGGAGTTGAAGTCCACAAGTCATAAAAGGGCCAAGTTTGAAGACCCACCTGTTATAGTGTAAGTGAGGTCAAGGCCACAGAGTTCAAACCCATTCTCCCTAAACATCTGAACAAAGACCACAAAGAAAATTGAGAAATATCACAAATGAGCAACTGAATAGATGAGACTTTCAAAATGCTCTCCTGAGGACAAGGGTGGAGTCTGTCATATTCCTCCCCCTCCCCCGCCTATTTCCTGTTAATTTGTAGTTTATAGAGAAGTATTATAGCTTATAGTTCTCCAACCCTCCAGGTATCCTCATTCTCCAGAATTGATGGGAAGAGCTCTGGCAGAACGGAACCAATATTTATGCTTATCCGGTGAGGTTATTCATCTTTTTATAGGTTTAACGTTAGCGTTTATTCCGCCAAACTGGCTGAGCCATAAAGCAATTTGCGAGAAAGCAAACCAACACAATAAAATACACGGTAATCCAAAGTTATCTGCGGGGCAATCTGGTTGAGGAAGCCGAGCTACTACCATTTGGTTTTACTACTATCGGGTTCCGGGAGTTTAAAGTTCAGCCCTAGCCTGACTCGAACCTTTGCTTACCAATTGCAAACGCTTTGCCGGGCCAACTTTCACCCGCTCCCCCCCCCCGCGTTCCTGAACTAGTTTTTCTGGTTTTCGTAACCTTCCCTCGGTTCAATTTTGAGATGGCCCAAAGGAAACCGGGTCAAGAGAAGAATAGCATAACTTGACTGGGAGGAGAAGGAGCGTGGAAGAAAGAGAGCCCGCACCGTTGCGAAGGGGACGCGGGTGAAGCACCGAGAGATCCACTTGGGAGAAGGCGCTGAACGACAAAAAAAAGAAGAAGCGCGCCACACCGACAAGCCAGGCGGGGCGCTACCTCAGCACACCCCAGGCAGGTGAGAAAAGGCGCCGATTGAGCGGGAAAAAAAGAAGAAAGGAGAAGAAGCCGCCGGCTTGCAAAATTGCTTCTGGCCGGGCCAGGAGCCAAAAGCGGAGGGAAGGAAGGAGCGCAAGGCAACCACCCCACCCACCGGACTGCACACACAGTCACACCGCCCTGTGGCTGCTGCAGGCGCGGGCGACGCCTCGCAACTTTCCCCTGCGCGCTTATTTTATCTCTCCCCCCCCTACACACACACACACACTCACACACTCTCTCTCTCTCTGTGTTGGCCGCGTCGGATGAGCAGGGTTGCCGCGGCTAGAGGCTCTCAGCAAACCTCCCCTTCGCCTCTTTTTTTTTTTTTCTCTCTCTCGCTTTCGCCCCCTGCCTGAAGCGTCCGCCGGGGCTAAAAGGATGGTGTTCCTTACGTTGCCGCTGCTGCTGCCGCCGCCGCCGCCTCCCCGCTGCAGCCACCCCGCAGCCAAGTGAACTGCGAGGAGTCCGCCGACTTGGAAAGAGGCACCAGCAGGCGGCTGGCTGGAAGAGGCGGCGAGGGCGGGAAGACCCCCTCTTGGCTCAGTCTGCAGTCTCGGTGGGACGAGAAAAAATCTGCGGGGTAAACAGCAGCAGCAGCAGCAGCCCGGCGGAGGGGACTTCGCCTGGCCCAGGTAATTGGATTGTGGGGAGGGGGGAACTAAGGGGGAGTTTTCTGGAAAGGCAACTGGCGTCGTTCCTTTCTCTCTTTTGCTCAGGCAAGGGCTTGCTTTTTTGGTGTCTCAGCCACCATTCCTGGCCGGTTTATTCGGTAAGAAAGACAGACCAGATTTGCTTTCCCTCCCCCCCCCCGCCCCAGGAAAGAAAGTCATCGCAAAAAAAAAAAAAATCCCAACTTTCTTCTCACCTTCCCTTCTTGCCTCGGCAACTTTTGAGTTTTCTTCCGCTTCTTTATTTATTTTTGGGGGGGGGTTATGCTTAAAACTTTTTCCCTTCTGCCCCGCTGCTTGTGCATTTGAGAAAGATAATCGGAGTGTTTAGGAACGATACTTTCTCGTCTGAAAGTCTCTCTCTCCCCCCTCCCCATTTCCATGGCTTTCTCCCCCTCCTCTTGCTGACACGTCTCTGGCTTTTCAATTAGTGGAACTGAATTCCCCCCCCCGCCCCCGCCGCCTTCTTCTAGGGATGTTAATGGGAACGAGAGCAAACTTATTCTGTGTGGGCTGCCTTCCTCTTCAAGTGGACTTCAGCTTTTTGTTTTAGTAAAACGGGCCGTATAATAAACAGGATTCCTTCAGCATCTGTAGGAATTGGGGAATTATAGTTCTACTCGAGGGGGAAACGGCAGTTTTAAGTTCTTATCTTCCAAATGGCTTAAATGTGTACTTATGCCTTTCATTTTGAAAGCATGTGGTATTTTAATGTTTAAAAAGAGAAGGCACTCTGTATAGAGTTATTACTTCCACCCTGGGCTGAAGTGCTGGGATACTTGAAAGGCTCTATTGGAGCATTAACTCTTTCACTTTCTTCCTCCCAAGGCAGAATGTTTACTTAGAGAGTGCCTGTAATGTAATTTAATAGGGATTGTGTATTCCCTCCCACTGATTTATTCATATTCACGGATGCAGCATTGCAAAATGGTTGATGAACTGTTATGCAATCTATGCCGGTGATTCTGTTCTGTTTCATGTCTTTGTATAGCAGTAATACTGTACTTACATGGATTACGAAAACTGTTTGGTCTTAAATTGGTTTTGCATCACCATCCAAATCTTGTTTTATGAGCATTGGAATGGGTAAATCAGGGGATTCGTCTTACTTGATTAAATATTTGCATTTCACTTTTTGTAGCGTAACAGTTGCTTTTCTATATTTGGTGGAATGTAGGTGTACAATATAGATGCTAGATATGTTGTGATTTTCTTCAATGGACAATATTGACATAATTTCCAAAATAATAAGATGCATATGAGTTATGTGACACAGAATTGTCATAAACTCTAGGCTGACTTAAGGCCTTTGAGAGGTCCTTTATTCATCTACTTCATCATATATCCACAGGTTCTCTCAGCAAAGAGAAGAAAGTGTATTGGTATAATATTGTGAAATATTAATAGAGGGATCAAGGCTGAGAAGCTTTAATACCAATGTACTGGAACATTATTTTATCCAATGAAATCTACGGAAGATTCGAGTAAGCCAAGCCTAACCAAACATAATGTATGTCACATGAAAAACAATACAAAAAGAAAATAAATGAAAGCTTAAATCAAATGGACCAGAGAGTATTGTCATTGCTTGTGTGCTTTGACTCAAAAAGTGAAATGGAAATTCTTTTCATTAGACTATTGAGTATGTATTATCTTGCATTGCTGGGTTCCACTCCATGTTGCACGGGTCTCTCCTTCTTTGGAATTAGTCCAATTCCATGTCTGATTCTGAAGAAATTGCTGTCTAATGTTCATTTACGATGGATAGGTAAACCCAAACATATTGGCACCCACTTCTTAGTGGAAGATGCCATATTAGTTTTATAAGGATTCATAATTACCATTGAACTTTAAAAGCAGTAAAGTGATAGTGTAACATGTTATCACTATAAGAAATATCCAAATATTAGAACTATTATGCCATCAGTACACCAGTTATATAAAACTATGACTCTCGCAATCATTGTCCAAGCAGTAGATGTTCTGAATAGGTTTCAGTTATATGATGACTGAGGGCAAACAAAGCAAAACCATAATCTTGAAAAAACAGAGATGCTGTTTAGCTAAAAGCTAAACTAGCCAATTAGAAAACTATAGGTTGTATATAATTTGTATGTCAACAAAGAATCAGTGTTCTAATTGGGGATTAAATGGTTGGAGCAAATTAAATCAATTTGGAACTAATTAAATTATTTGGCCCCCAGGAACAATGTTGGCACTGGCCTTCAAACCCCTAAACAATTTGGGGCCAAACAATTAAGACTACTCTTATAAGGCAATTAACAGTGGCAATTAAGACTATATGCCTTTTATAGGAAAAATTAGGTTGGTATAAATGAGGAACAAGACCTTGGTAGACATGTATTTATGGAATTACATCTTTGAAATAAATATATATGATTTTTAGAGATGGACAAGAATTATCATTCCAGGAATCAAATGTTCTATTGAACCCTAAATCATTCAAGTTCTCTTCCAAACCATGTTAGTTCAACTGTTTGGGTGATTTTCCAGAAGTTAATTTTCTGAACCAGAATCTGTTTCTCATATTGGACATGGATAGACCCCGAAACCAGACTCTTTTTATCTGGGAACCATGTTTGAAGCCACCATAGACTTCCAGTTGGGAAGAGTAATTTCTAGAAAACCGTCCAACCACTTCTAGAACAGCTGGATCAGTGTGATCCAGAGGACCAAATGAAACATTCAAGACTTCTCCAGAACATTTGATTCCTGATGGTAGGTTTTATATATACACAATGACTTCCCATCTTGAGAAAATGTTAAAAGAAATGTTTTAATACTAAAATTATACCCTACTAAGCATGCTTAATTGTACTAAATTTTAAGGCAATATTATATCATGTTTGTTAATTTTTATTATCATGGTTGTTTTTATCATTTTTGCTTTCCCAAGAAGTTAGAATTGTAGAACTAAATACAATTAATAAAAATGTTTGTAAAAGCAATTGTATCAAGGAAAATAGACCATCAACAATTAGGAGAAACACAAATCAACTCAACAGGACAGAGATCTGGCAGAACAAAAAGACTTTTATTGATCAAAGGAATACTGTTCAGAATAGGATAGGCTAAACATCTCTAAGAACAACATTCCAGAGACCAACTTGAAGGGAAAAAATGAAAAACACAAGTAGAGATTGGACAAATCTGGCTTGCCAGTAGTAGATCTGAAAGGGAGCTGGATGTTCCAGTAGATCATAAGCTGAAAATGCTAAACAATGTGATGGCAACTTTTAAGTATCCCAGAGCCATAGATATAGGGTTTTACATTTCTCCCTGTTAAATTTCATTTTATTAATTTGACCACTTCAATCCCCTCATCCAAATCATTCATGTTACACAGCATGAAACCCAGGACAGAAATCCAAAATCCATACTTGTTCAATCAGAATAGAGCTGGAAGAGACCTTGGACGTCTTCTAGTCCAACTACCTGCTCAAGCAGGAGACCCTATACTATTTAGACAGGTGACTATCTTGTCTCTTCTTAAAAACTTCCAGGGATAAAGCTCCTGCCACTTCTGAAAGCAAGCTGTTCCACTGGTTAATTGTCCTCACTGTTAGGAAGTTTCTCCTTAGTCCCAGATTGCTTCTCTCCTTGATTAGTTTCCATCTATTGTTTCTTGTCCTGCCTACAGTTGCTTTGGTAAATAAGTTGAGCACCTCCTCTTTGTGGCAACCTCTCAAATATTGGCTATCATATCACCCCTAATCTTTTTTTCTCTCTAGAGCAGTGATGGCGAACCTTTTAGAGACTGAGTGCCCAAACTGCAACCCAAAACCCACTTATGCATCATTGAGTGTCGGATGGGTGTGGCCCATTGGATGGGTGTGGCCCATTGGATGGGTGTGGCCCATTGGGTGGGCGTGGCTGTGGTGGTAATGGCAGACTGGGTGGGACTAAAAAGTTCAATCAATCAATTCCAACTTTGCAAGATCTTTTTTTCCCCGCAAGAAGTTGAAATTGACTGATTGATTGAACCTTTTTTTTTTTTACACACGGCGGCGGAGGCCTAAAGCGAAAAGGTTTTATAAAACCCAGCTGAAGGGCTAGGACTGGGGTGATGGTATACATGCCCACAGAGAGGGCTCTGCGTGCCACCTCTGGCACCCGTGCCATAGGCTCGCCACCACTGCTCTAGAGATTAGACAAACCTAAATCCTGCAACTGTTCTTCATATGTTTTAGTCTTCAGGCCTTTAATCATCTTAGTTGCTCTTCTTTGCACTTTCTTCCAAAACCTCAACATCTTTTTTGCAATGTGGTGACCAAAACTCAATGCAGTATTCCAGTATTCCTTACTAAAGCTTTATAAAGCGTTACTAATACGTCGCGTGGTTTTGATTCTATGCCTCTGTTTATACAACCAAGGATTAGCTTTTTTGGCTGCTGCCACACACTGCTGGCTCATACCCGGTATTTAAGTGCTCATCAAGCTGATGGAAACTATTTATGAGTACTCTCTAGGATGGCCATTCAGTTAATTATGAATCTGTCTATCAGATGTATTCTCAAAGCTCGTATATTTTAACATTTTCTTAATGAGGAGGTAATAAAAGATTTCACCTAATGCTTTTCTGAGTTCACAATAGCTATGTCCACAACATTCCCTTTATCTAATATGTTAGTAACTGTCTAAAGAGAGATAAGGTTAATTTATGTATGATCTCTTGTGACAAACCCATGCTGGCTTGTGATTTTTGCACTCCTATTGAAGTGCTCACAAACATGCTTCTCAAACACATTGCCCACTATAGGTGTGAAGCTATTACAGACAGATAGTGCTTCATTACAGACAAATCTGTACATTCATATGTCTTTCTTCTCTATTTTGCTTTCCTCTGATCTTCTGAGACCTTACTAGTTTTTATCAAAGAATGTATTTGGAGGTTCTGGGACCACCTCCACTGGTTTCTTCAATGCCCTAGAGCAAGATTAATC